CTAGGATAGGTGGATATAAGGACTAAATGGCGTACATCCTTTGCCGATTGACTAAGTAACGTACATTTGAGGAAAGTGGGGAGCGGTGAAGAACGAAAAGGATGAGGAAGTGTGCTTCTGGGATTTTCCTTTTTATGAAACTGTTGCTTAGGTAAAGTTGTTCCAAAAAACCCATTATTAGGCTTCTTTATTTATGAAATTGATGCTTAGGTAAAGTTTTTCCACAAAAACCCGTCATTAGGCTTATTATGAAATTAATGCTTAGGTTAAATTGTTACCTACAAAAGCCGTCATCAGGTTTCTTTATTTATGAAACTGATGCTTAGGTAAACCTGAGAGCGAATAAGTTCTATGAAGTGGGCAAAAACAGGATAGAATGGGTGCCTGGGGATGAAGTCAGCTTTTGCTCCTGTGAGATTTTATAGACAAGAACAAAGGTATAATTGTTTTGCACAGTTGCAGACTGCAAGAGGCAACAGTGTGAAAATGTCTGCAATTCTTGTGTAATTCAACTGGACTTATTTGCCCTCAGCTTCACCTGGGCATAAGCTTCAGTAAATTCCGCTGAAATTATTTGCCCTCAGCTTCACCTAATCATAAGCTTCAGTAAATCCTGTCGAACTTATTTGCCCTCAGCTTCACCTAAGCATAAATCTCATAAATACGGGGACCGCTTACTGAAGACGGGTTTTTGCAAGACAAATCCTACTCGCGTAAGCTCAGTTTTTGTTTGCTTTTCCACTTTTTGCTTTTGGTTACAGGCTCCAGTTCTTTGATTTTGCTTTTTTTTCCTTTTATTCACAAATTCAGGTCTGTTTTAATTCACTTTTCTTTGTAGTGCCGTGTTGGTTTATTTTGCTCTTTACTGCTTTCTGCAGTTCGTGCTTCGAACTCCTGACTAGCACTCTTCTTCCCCTCTTGTATGCTGTCCCCAATTCCTGCCTCCAGAGCCGCATCGGGGCACCCACCACCTCCAACCACTATCACCGTTTATCCTCTTAGTCAGCAACTTCATTTCTCCCCATTACCCTGGCCTCAATCGCGCCCTCTGAGCTGTATCTAGGCAACTACCAACAAACACCTCCCAACAACGTCCAGTCTTCCTACCCATCACCCCCGCGACTACGTAATCCAGCTGCTAGACATTGGGCAGCGCTACCCGGCGCGTCTGGCAAAGTTCCAGCGAGCGACGCCGCGAAATAGTGTTGACAGAGATGGTAGAGCAAAGCGTTGGAAGGCCAAAGCACCATAGATCACCAGCTGAGACGAATTTTAGTAGCTTCTGTTCGCGAACAGCAACGATCAGCTGTGTGGGAGGTATTCTCGGGTTCAGCTAGGATGTCCTAATAAGGCTACAGAAAAAGATGGCGTGTTGTTGTGTTCGGGGATGAATTTAAACCAGCGACGAAACTAACCGAGGGACGACGGGGACCGAGGGCGAAGCTAGTCAAGCTGGACTCGGTAAGCAGATGACCCCGCTTATATGTCAGCCTCCGTTCACGACCCAGTCTTTCGGACGTTACGGATAGCCGAATGGTGCCAAAGTAGCGTTTGCAGAAACGAAAAATATAATACATAAATCAAATCCAGTGAGAAATATCTACAGAAGTAAAACAGTGATAATGTGAAGTGATAAACGGAGATCAACAAAGGAAGGGGCGTAAGAAGAGAGGA